GCAGAGGGAAGATGAGGAGAACCAACGCCTCGACGCTGCCATCGCAGCCAAGCAAGAGCAACTCGCGGCACTGCAGCACCAGGTCGAGCAGCGCGAAAAACGCCTGGCCGCCCTCGAACTCCGGCTTCAACTCGTCGAGGGGGCGGAGCAGCAGGCCAAGTCCGCCGCCGCGGGCCAGGGCCAGGGCACCAGGGTGGTCAGGCTCGACGTGGGCGGGCGCCACTTCACCACGAGCCTCGCAACCCTCACCTCGGAGGCCGACTCCAAGCTGGCGGCCATGTTCGACCACCACGAGCTCGAGCTGCAGGACACCAACGACGGCCGCGTGTTCATCGACCGCGACCCCGTCACGTTCGCGCTCATCCTCGACTGGCTGCGCACCTCCGACCCGCCGACGGGCCTGAGCGCGGACCTGGAGCGGCGGCTCCGGCGCGACGCCGCCCACTACGGCCTTGCGCGCCTGGTTGCCGCGATGCAGAAGAGCGATGTCGACGTCGGTAGCAACGAGCGCCGCTACGAGAAGATCACGATCGAGCAGCTGTGGCAGCTGACGAACGAAAAGTCCAACGTGCAGCTGGCGGGCGTCGATCTGCGCGGCGTGTGTCTGAGCGGGCTCGACCTCACGCGAGCGCGGTTCACGCGGTGCAATCTGGAAGGGGCCGACTTCGAGTGGGCCAACCTGAACGAGGCGCGGCTGATCGACTGCAACCTCAACCGAGCGATGATGGCGGGTGAGCATTCATTTCACTATGTTGCTGAGGCTTGTGCAGGGCTAACAGTTATGTTGGACCAGGGGTGCATCTTTCTAAGGCCAACCTGTCGAGTTCTTCATGTGTGGGCACCAACCTGAAAGGTGCGTGTGCGTGTGCAGTGGTGCGTGTGCGTGGCACAATATGGCTCACAATCCAGGCGTATGCAGGAGCGGTGCTGGAGGGCGCAATGTGCGCAAACACGGTCTTTCAAGATGCCAACCTTGCAGGTTTGTACGCTCCTCATCACTGCGAAATGTGTTGTGCTAATGTTGGGCTGGCTTACAGGAGCCGATCTCACAAAGATGAATGGCGGAGCAGCTTCATTTGCAATGGCCAACCTCACAGGTTTGTGCAGCCTCATCCTCTTTT